AATTTTTTTTAAAATATTATTAGATTTAGTAAAATTAATATGAAATGATTAAGCTTAAGCCCAAATTTTACAAAATAAAGACGCCTAAATTTATTATAAGACAAAGGCCCAAGTCCAACTTTTCAACAATCCATGAACGATATTGGCAGACTACGAGAACGAGAGCGACGAGAGCGAGAGTCAATAAGCGACGAGCCGACGGTTCATCTACATGCGATTCGATTCCAACAATCCAATGGTAACTCGTCAAGCGGCTCAACGGGCAATTTTAGAATGAAGTTTCCGATGCGTCGCCGACTTAAGGTTAAATTCAACTTTTACAGTTTCACTTTCAGTTCATCTGTTATGCTGTTCATGTTTGATGTTTCTCAAGACTCAAATCTCAAATTTCTCAATTCTAGCTTATATGTGTAATGTGTTAATTGTTAATTTGTTATGATTTTGGGTTCACTGTTTCTTAATTCTCATAGTTCAGTTCTGATTTCAAGTTCAAGATTCAAGATTTATTTCAATTGTTGTTCAAGTTCATCATTCACTCGATGGGTTTAGGGCAGCAACAAAAAAGTATCTATTTTCAGTTTATGTGTACAATTTCTTTTTATTTGCCATGATAAGATTCGTATTTATCACCATACATATTTGAACATTTTGTTCAACAGTTCTGTCGATAACTTTTAAATTTAGGGATTAGTTAGATCACTGATTCACTGTTTAGGGAAGATATAAGTGAACCATTGAATCAAGAACCCATGGAAGTTCTAAAGTGAGTGCATTCTGCACTTCTTAAAACTCCAGAAGGGAATTTAGAACAAGTCATAATGCCAATTATGCCATAAAACAGGGCCATGTTATTAACTTCTTGAAACTTTGTGTGAAGTCATACAACCTTTACTTTATCAATTCAGCCATATTATTAACTAGAAAAAGATCAAGAATCACATAGGGATAATAGTTATTATTTCCATGTGTTTTTCCAATTGGTATTTAGCAAATTTGGTGTAACTTATATACATAATAACATAATACATGATTGACTTATTTGCTTACTATTTGCGTTTCAACCTTTTTAAATGGCAGACTACAATTTATTGAAAAAAGAAATTGACTTCTTCATTCTTCAGTATTCCATAATCCAAACTCAGATTCAACCACTCAGCCACTCGGGTGCCTTTTGTTCATCTTTATATTGATTTTGTTGAATTGTTGTGAGTGTTAAATATTGATCATGTTGCCTAAAAATTATAAGTACTTATCTGGAAGTGAGAAAAGGAAAAAAGAAGAAGTTAGTTGAACAATTGAAACAATCACGAAAAGGAGCCATGGATATGTTTGTAAAGACCGTAGGTTCTTCTAATCAAGAGTTAGATGACTTAGATGAACAAGATGTTGAACATCCAAATATGAGTGAAGATAATGAAAAGATTGATGGTGTGAGTGAACATGAGGTCCCCAATAATACTGAAAATTTATCCATTGATGAGCAATCAATTCCGTTTTTTGATATTTGTGATCCAATAAATTGGGATAATCTTGATACTAAATCAAGAGACATCCTAGTTGAAAAAGGACCTATTAGAGAATTGGGTATCGTGTTTCCTTTAGATAACATGTCTAGACATTTTTCATATGCTTTATTATGATAGAAAGTGTATTGTTTTTGTTGTAAGTTGTTCAAGTCTAAGAATTATAGAAATGCAATAGCTAATGAAGGATTTAGAGATTGGAAGCATCTTGGTGAGAGACTTAAAGAACATGAGAATAGTATTGAACATATGAATAACATGTTATCTTGGAATGAACTACGAGTAAGACTGAACACAAACCAAACAATCGATAAAGACTTACAACAAGAGATTTTAAAACTGAAAGAACGTTGGAGGCAAGTTTTAGTAAGAATAATTGTCGTTGTAAAGTGTCTTGCTAAATATTCTTTGCCTTTTAGAGGATCAAATGATAAGTTGTATCAACGTAGCAATGATAATTTTTTGGGGTTAATTGAAATGATTGGAGAATTTGATGTGATAAATTAAGATCATATTAGACGATTCAAAATCATGAAGTTCATTATCATTATCTTGACCCTAGAATTCAAAATGAGTTAATTTCTCTTTTGGCTCATAATGTTGAAAGTTCTATCATGAAAATTATTAGAAATGCTAAATATTTTTCTGTAATTCTTGATTGTATATCGGATGTGCCATCAAGAGTAACAGAGTTTAATCATACGATGCGTGAATATGTCCGGTGATAAAATAAAAATAGAGTAGTATTTTATAGAGTTTTTAAAAGGTTGATGATACATCTGGTTTAGGGTTGTTCAATGAATTATTAGATATACTTAAATATCTCGATCTTAGTATTGATGATGTGAGGGGTCAAGGTTATGATAATGGTTCTAACATGAAGGGAAAACATCAAGGGGTACAAAATCGATTACTTGAAGTTAATCTAAAAGCGTTATATATGTCATGTGCTTGTCATAGCCTTAATCTTACTTTTAGTGATATGGCTCATTCTTGTGTTAAAGTTGTTTCATTTTTTGGAATTATTCAACACATATACACATTATTTGCTAGTTCTACAAAAAAGTGGAAGGTATTACTTGATAATATGTCAAATTTAACTGTAAAATCTTTGTGCAACACACGTTGTGAAAGTAGAATAAAAAGTGTTAAGGCAATTAGATTTCAAGCTCCTCAAATAAGATCCGTTTTGTTTGAATTATGCAAATCATGTGATGATGCCAAGACGAAAAGTGAAGCGGAAAATTTGGTAAGTGCAATTGAAAATTTTGAGTTTTTACTTGGTATGATTGTTTAGTATGATGTTTTATTTTTAATAAACATGGTTAGTAAAAGGTTGCAATTAAAATCTATGTGCATTACTGCTACCATGCAACAATTTGAAGGTGTAGTGAAGTATTTTGAAAAGTATATGAATGAAGGGTTTGCATCAAGTATGGATACTGCTAAAATAATAACATGTGAAATGAATATAGATCCTACATTTTTAATTAAACGTCGTATTATTAGGAAAAAACAATTTGATGAAAATAACAGTGAAGAAGAAATGCAAGCATCGGAAGAGCAGGCTTTTAGAATTAATTATTTTCTAAACATTGTGGACATGGCAATTTCTTCATTGAATAATAGATTTGAACAATTAAAGAAATTTGAAAGTATTTTTGGATTCCTATTCGATTCTGATAAACTAAAGTCATTGGATGAAAATGAATTGATGAGATATTGTGTTCATTTTGATGATAATCTTTTACCATAATACTGTGACGGATGTGGATGTAAATGATATTTATTCTAAATTAAAGGTGTTGCAGGTGACTTTACCAAATAAATCAATGACGGCAGTTGAAATTCTTGAGTTTGTCAAAGTTGTAAATTGTTACCCTAATGTCTCGGTTGCTTATCGAATTATGTTGACAGTACCTGTGACCGTAGCATCTGCAGAAAGGAATTTTTCAAAATTGAAGACGTACTTGAGGCCATCAATGTCACAAGAAAAGGTTGAATGGATTGGCAATAGTGTGCATTGAAAAAGACATGCTTGATAATATTGATTTAGATGCTATTATTGATGATTTTGCATCCAAAAATGCATCGAAGAAGTTGTTTTGTATGAATTAGATGCTATTATTGATGATTTTGTATCCGAAATACTCGAAGAAGTTGTTTTGTATGAATTATTAGTATTATTGTATGAAAGTTTGTTCTTTTAATGATTAAAAACATTTATTTAAGAATTTTTTTGTACATATAGAGGGTCCAAAATTCACAAATCGTCCAGGGCCCAAAAAATGTCAAAAACGGACTGTTGATTGTAAAAGTATATCATTTTGTTAATTTTTTGTCTTAATTGCTCAAGACAGCTATTTCACAGTTATTTGCATAAGAGTTTTTTTAAAGCATTGCAAGGTTTAGGTTTGGATAGAAATATCAGGCTGTGTTTTTCAGATTTTGGTCATACCTTGAATGGATATTTAAAGCTTATATGTCGTTAAATGATTAGGTGCTAAACAATCTCAAAATTCTTCTCACATAGATCACAATCTTTTTTGGTCATATTTTCAAATGTAAACCATGGATGGAAGTACAATCATAGCTATGTCTATTAAGCGGCATCACTTTCCGCTCAGGTTTTTGAAATAAAAAGATAAATAACAGCATAAAGATTACAACATTTATAAGGATTTCTAAGCAATTAATTGCTTTAAAAAAATTACGTGTATACGTGAGTTATAAATGCTTAAAAGTTTTAATATAAAATATTGTAATTAAATAATTTTTTAGTCACTATAAAAAAGTGAGAATTGAAACACATTTTTGTCCGATATCCATTGATTCACCCATCATCCATCATCCATATATAATTTCTTATTTTTATCGGTTATAATTATTACTATATTATAAAATATTTAATAAAATTATTAAAAATATATTTTTATGTATGAAATATTGTATATTGATGCATATTATTTAAAATTCAAGATTACAAGTAAATTATACATAAATACAACTTATTAAAGCTTCATGTTTGAATTTGTGTAACTAACTGCGGATAAACATAATTAAATCGAGGATAAACATCTCATTTTAAAAAATAAAAAATGTAAATATAATTAGGATAATTATCGAGTTCTAAAAAATAATTAATTATTATCTTTATAAAAAACATTATATTATTATATCAAATATAAATTACTTCACTATTAAACCTAAATTAAAATTATAATAAAAAATTGAATTAGAAAATTATAAAAAAAAATAGGAATTGTAAATAGTTAATTTGATACTAATATCGATATATTTTGTCAAATTTTTAATGATATCTTCAAATTTATATTTTGTTCAAAAAAAACATCATCGCTTTTTCAAAATCACATAAGATTATATTATAACATCGAGTGAGATAAAAATAGAATGCAATATTAAAATAAATATGTATCTTAGTGCATTGCTCGTGCATGCTTCATAGTAATTATTAATATTGAATTTAAGACATACATACTATGTCTTATTTAAGACTATCTGAATGAAGTCCTTCAATTCCGATATAAGGTGGTCAGATTCAGGCAGCTCCGGAAACATGTAGAAAGCATGGCACATATTTGGGTAATCCAACAAGTATGCTTCTTTCCCACTATTCTTCACCCACTCGTAGTACCTTTTCTGCCAGTCCTTTAGAGCATCGAACCCACCCATAACCACCATCGTTGCCGGAAAATCCAGCTCTGATATGTCCACTGCCCTTGGCCCACTCACATTGATGATCGGATGGTCACGGTCGTACCCTTCACCTGCCGGCATAAACGCCTTCCAGCACCAATCTGTCCTCTTCAACGACACCAGAGGCGTTCCTTTCAGTTCTATTTCGGAATCTGTTCGTTCCATTCCTCCAAAGAATGGTTGAATCGCCACCACTCCAATTACCTTCAAACATATCATGCATGCATTTTACTGACTTCATTTCAAGTTTGGGTGAATTAATTGGATGTATAAACCAAGATCTAGTTAGTTAAGCAATGGATTGATGTACCTTGAGTCGATGGAAGTTGAATTCGCAGGCTCGTTGAGCAACGTGATGAGCTAGGTTTCCGCCAGAGCTATCTCCGACGAGAAAGCAGCGTGAAATGTTCACATTCTCTGGTAAAGATTTCGAACCATTTTCCTGATCATCATCCAGAAATTTCAGCACATCAAAGCAATCATCATGTTGCGCAGGATACGGGTGCTCCGGTGCAAGACGGTAGTCGACGGAAACAATGATTGCAGGAAGTTTTCTG